TTATTCTGCACTCTGTGCGTGGTAAATGCACATGCTGAGGATTGAGCTCCATGCCTTGCACAGGGCAATAAACATGCTCTACCACTTAGCTACAGCTTCAGCCTGTTTTTTTCTGTTTGAGACATGGTCTTGCCAAGTAGCCCTGGCTGGCCTCAAAGCTGAGGTCACCTACAGCTTCAGCCTCCACTATGTCTGTTCAATCTGTTCTATATCCTTATGTCCCTCTAGATAGTGCCACACCTACCCACCATCATTATATATTTTAGTTTTTAAAAAATATTATTAAAGGGGCCGGAAAGATAGCTCAGTAGAATAAGTGCTTGCCTGGCAAGCTCAAGGGCCTGAGTTCAATCCCTGGTTCCACCAAAAAAAAAATTAGAAAGCAAATAACTGAATACAAAAAAAAAAAAAAAAAAAAAAAAAAAAAAAAAAAAAAAAAGAAAAGAAAAAAAGTGACCACTTAAATCTTCATTCCATCCAACTACCTTCATGTGAGGGTACTGATTTCTTTTCTAGGCATGGACCATAGTCCTCTGGACTTTGTAGTTTTCTTACCTGTTCCTACATATTCTTTTGAAAGTTGGCAGTTGCCACAGGAGAGTTCTGCTGCAAAATATTGAGCAGAACACTTGATATAAGCTGAAGTGGACAGTGCATATGTTAATAGCACCTCCTGTATGTACATATTCTCAAGGGATCTTCTATTTGTGGCAAGGAAGAGGCTCGGATAAACATAAGATGCATTCCATATTGCTTCCTTTCCTTTTGGAATCTATTTCAGGATACATGGAACAATGTCCATAATCAATTTCAAGTCCTCTCAGAAAAGACAAGCAAAGGTCTGCTGTATAGGTTGAATATGCCTTATCAAAATGCTTGTCTCAGAGGTACCTTTTTTTAGTTTTCTTGAATTTGAAATACTGGCATAAATTTATTGGTCGATATCTCTATTTCGAAAACCTGAAATCTCAAATGCTTCAAAATACGAAACCTTTTAAAACATCATGTTGGCCTTCAAAAAGGTTTAGACTTTAGAGCACTTTATATTGTGGAGTAGGAATGCTCAGCCTGTACCTAGTTTTTACCAGCTAATTGTTTGTTTTTTTAAAACAACTTGTAATGGTACTGTTTTCTTAAGTTTTTTTTTTTTTCCAGAGGGATTCTAGTCACCGGGATGTCGCCTTGATGGGAATCCTAGGGCCTCAACACCCTCCTTGGTCTCTTCAATTATGAAACTATTAAGTAGCCATCTCAAAGCCAGAGTGGTAACATGAGGTAAACAGTTTTTCTGGGTTCCGTAGTGATGGGCTGCCTCAGCATAGCCCCAAAGAAACAGGCCCAAAAGATCATGGACCAGAGGCTCCATGGCTGTGAGCCCCAAATAAACTTTTTCTCTTCATTAGTCCATCATCTCAAGTACTTTGTTACAGTGACAGAGTTTGCCTAACACAAAAGGTATATGAAATTTTAATGTGGCATTATCTCAGCAGGTGAAAATAGTTAGAATGAAAGGCCATTGGTTTGGGCCAAACATATCCCCTGATTACTCAGGAGGGAAAGGTAGGATATGTCCCTCGTGACACATCTGTGTCCTTCAGACCAGCAAAATGAAGGACTGAGTCAGGATGGTAGTGGAATAAAACACATTCTATTAGCCCAAGGCAGTGGGTTCCTGTAGATCTATTTCTTCTCGACAATATGGTCCATGAGGTTGCTTGAGAACTCTGTGTGCTAAATACATAGCTCTTGGGAAATTCTAAGGCTCTTCCCCTCTAGAGGGGATGTGCTATTACCTCCTATGCTAGAGGCCCAGGCAAATAGACTCTTGGAAACCAGATCCTGATAAACTAACATTGGAGCTTGCAGGACAGAAGAGTGTGTTATGAGGCTGTCAAGTAACCATCTCAAAGCCATCGTGGTAACAATGAAAGCAGTCAGCTCAGATAAGAGCCAGTGTCTTTGTGGCTCCACCTTCCTTCCTCATTCTCCACTTATTCCAACATCAAAGAGACGAGAGACAATGCACGAATTGGGTGCCATAAAATCAAGAAGATTTGCTGTTCCACCCCTTGCAATCAACTCCCTTTGGAGCCCCAAACCATAATAACACTTCCTGTGCCAGAGTCCCCAAAGACTGGGTGATGTTCCCATGAGAAATTAGGTGTTTATTTCAACAGAGAAAGACAATAATTAAATCTAAGGCACATCTCTGGTAGCAGGACACCCCCTTTCCCAACCTCTTGCACTTAAACACAGTAAGCATTTTCTCACATTTTAGCAGGTTGTACGGAGGAGACAGGAGGGCTGAAGGAAGATTAGTTGCCCAGAAAAGATATAAGTGAGTGAAGAAAGAGCCAGCCCCCATTTGCCTATATTAATTTCTTTCTCAGAGAACATTGCAGTGAACCTCTCTTGTTCTATTGTTTTTGGAGGTCAGAAAGTGTAATAGACAGTGGTTAGTTAGGTCAGACAGTCTTGGAGTTTAATTTCAGGTACTCTAATCTCTGGTCAAGTGACCACAGACTTTATCTAATGAATTTTGGAGTCTACATTTGTGAAACAGGGATAATGACAGCACAGTGTACAAAGCATGAAGATGATAGAGTTAGAACCTGATGCATGCTGACTAGCCAATAAGCATTAGGTATTATTAACACTAATCCCACAGAATCAGTTGCACCATCACTTGGTTTATAGCAGACCCTGATATACAGCACTCATTGTCACAGGGTCTTGGCAATGTCACCCCTTTGCTTCATCCTCCTTGTGTGGCTTCCATACATCCAGACACAGCCCAGGTCATGCCTAGTGAGTGGGAAGTTGTAGTTGCTCATACCCGAAAGCTGGATGAGTAGTTTTACAGTATGTGCTCTTCGAGCAGAGCTTCTAGTATCCCCTGGACACTTGTTAGAACCGCAGATGCTTGGGACGTACCATGGACTCACCCGATCAGAATCTCTGCGGTGAGCCCAGTGACCCCCATCTAACAAGTACCTCCTGCCTCCGCAACTGCAGGTGATACTCATGATGCTAGCATATGCAAACCACTGATCTGGACTCTGGGAAGATGCTGAGCCTCTCCATAGCATGCTGGAAGAGCTGGGGTGGGAGAGGAGCTCTAAATAACACTCTGGTACCTCATGGCCAAATGTGAGCAGTGCCTTAACAATCTTACCTATTCTTGAATGCTTTCTGCTTTGACTGGGAGCAGTCTGTCAAGCTGCAAATATTTCCTTCTCTCCCTCTGCTTCTCTCCCGCAAGGCACAAGATAGCTCCTGCCTGGCGTCTCAGATTACCATTCTCTCTTCAAAGTCAATTAAAGGTCTCTAATCCCCCCTGTGTTTACCTAAAGGATGAATTTGATCGGAAAGGATGAATGGAAAGGGCAAAATCCTAGAAGGGCCTGGGAAAAAAAAAAGCCCTGCTTTGGCTGGTGGGAACACACCCTTTCTCACTAAGCTTATTATGGACTGGTGCATTTTTTGAATTTCAAGTCTCCATCCGCCTGTCTCTTTCATCTGACCTCCATTCTGGTTTCAAGGGTGGCTTTTGACTCTACCCTTGGTATTAGGTTTGAGCCCCACCACCCAGCCCATCTCAAGGACTCTCAAAGTAATCGCTTGTGTCCTATGTCATGTTCCCTGTATGGGCTGAAAGCTGCTGAATATCAGCAATTCCTGGTGATCTGATCTAATATCTGCATTTTTACGTCACTTTGTGGGGACCCACAAATCTGTTTTATTCAGAATTGAAGGCAGATTATTTCTCAGGACTTTCTAGCAACAGAAGGTCATTTCCTGTGACACCAACTAAAGTTTGCCACCTTCTGGCTGGGGTCCTTGTATAAATGACGGAATCTGCCAAATCTCACTTTGTTTGTCTGTAAAGTGGGAACACTGTTATTGATCTTGTAGGTTTGTATAGGAGTTAATGAAAAATCATGCATGGGGGCTTGAATTTTAGTATTCAGATATGTTTAAAATCCTTCTTTAGGAAAGTTAAAGGTAACTATATTGAGTGTAAACATGTATCTCTGCTTCTTCTGTTAACTCTTAGCCTTGTTTTCTCTATCTATCAGAGGTGAACCTCCAAGATGTAATTGTTTCCAAGAAATGGGCATTTTAGGGTTGGGGAGACAGGTGATATAAGTGCCTGCCTGGCAAGCACAAGGTCCTGAGTTTGATTCCATGTATGACAACAACAACAATAACAACAACAACAACAACAACAAAAACAACACCACAAAACAAAAAGAAGGAAGGAAAGAAAGAGGCATTTTATTTTATTTTTTTTTTTCAGACGTAATTCATTTTATTTTTGCATAAAAACTCTATGTTGTAGCTACCGCTGGAGCTTGAGTCCTCTGGACAGAGACTCTGGTGTGGGTTTTCACAAGATGGTCAGTGAATTCCTGATAGGGAGACTTGGTGAACACAGTCTCTTTCCAGAGGTCAAGGGTCAGATAGCTGTAGGTCTTGGAGATGGCATCAAAGGTGGCCTTAGCAAAGTTGCCCAAAGTAGCAGTGCAGCCCCTAGCAGAGGTGTAGCAGTCATCAATACCAGCCATCATCAGCAGCTTCTTGGGCACAGGGGCTGAGACAATGCCAGTGCCTCTGGGGGCAGGGATCAGACGCACCAACACAGAGCCACAGCGGCCTGTCACCTTGCAAGGAACAGTGTGGGGCTTGCCGATCTTGTTTCCCCAGTAGCCTCTCCTGACAGGGACAATGGAGAGCTTGGCCAGGATAATGGCCCCACGAATGGCAGTGGCTACTTCCTTGGAACACTTTACACCCAGGCCAACATGACCATTGTAGTCCCCAATGGCGACAAATGCCTTGAACCTGGTCCGCTGGCCAGCACGAGTTTGCTTCTGCACAGGCATGATCTTCAGAACTTCATCCTTGAGAGATGTGCCCAGGAAAAAGTCAATAATCTCGGACTCCTTGATGGGTAAGGAAAAAAGGTAGATTTCCTCCAGGGATTTGATCTTCATGTCTTTGACCAGACGGCCCAGCTTGGTGACCGGAATCCACTCTTTGTCCTCGGCCTTACCGCCGCGAGCCCCGCGGCCTCGGCCCCGGCCCCTGCCTCTGCCGCGCCCGCGACCTCGAAGGCCACTGCCAAAGCCTCCGCGGAAGCCGCCGCGGCCTCCCATGCCTGGGCCCCCGGGGCCTCCGGCCCCTCCCGCTGCACCGGCGTCATCCGCCATTTGGTGTTTCCCAGAAAAAGAAGAAAGAGGCATTTTAAAGGCCTCAAAAGTGAGCATATTATTATGAAATGGGAAGAAAGTGAAATAATTTTTGTGCTATGAGTAGCCATTATTATTTTTCATTTCAGAGACAGGTCGGAATGTTCATGTGTTTTGGAATCTTAGTAGTAGAGAAGGCAGCCTGGTAAACTAAGGTATATCTGCATCAGCACGGTCAGGTGTTCTCACAGAAGTGGTTTACCCTCTGAGTGTCTCCCTTTCCATGTTCTGTGTCAGGGTCACATCTACACTTCATTCTACCTTGCTTGGACTTGAAGTGTTCAACAGACCTTATGCTTCATGAAAGCACGTCGAGCTTTTGGAATGCAGAGGTGTCGCACAGACCCAAAGTGACTGCACGAAAGAGGATCATTATCCTTTGACAATAGCCACGACTTTGGGAAAACATCTTCTGTTAGAGTTCAAAGGCAGAATTGGGAAAGAAAATCTGTTTTCTTTTGTTCTCCAGCAGAACTATCATCAACACAGTATTGGAAGGTGTAATTGGAGTGTTCTCTCTGCTGGTTTTTAGGAGCAAGTTTAAAAATTCCTGTGTTTGTTGCTTCCTCAAGGATACAATCGTATAGGAGTCCTGAAGTATTGTCTTCCAGGATAATTGTTAGATGTTAATAAAAGGTAAATGGAACCCTAATGTGCTATGTGTTAGATTGTTATCAAGAGACCCAGAAGCTTTTCAAAGTGAAGCATTGATTAGAAATTTGCATGTGCCCCAGCCCATCTTGTTTGGGGAGTTATCCTGCTAGTGGAAGTAAACAAGACATAACTCCATCTTCGCATTGACAACATGGCTTACTCGGTGCTTGCGAAACATTCTCTGGCTTAGTCACCGCTAGGAGTTGAATTGCGAAAGGTGTATGATATCATTCATAGTCCGCCTACTAGGAATTCTCAGTTTCTTCCATGTGAAATCGTTCCTTGAGAAGCAGGGAAAGTGATATTTGAATAGAACTTTAGTGTGGGGACCTGATTATTTTTTTCTTGTGACACTAAAAAGCTATACAGGTAAAACCATGTGCAGAGAGAAAAATCATATAGAAATAACAAATAAAAATAATACAATGGTTCAGGGTTTTTTTCACCCACTGTAACAATATCAGTGGGTTTCTCTGAGTTTAGATGTGTCATTTGAATTTACTTCTCCCTTAAAAACGTTCCATTGTAGTGATGTCCCCACGCATAATCCAGCCATCCAGTGGAAAATTTTTTTCCTTAATGAGAAAATCTGTGAGTTTTTCTTCACTTTCTTTTTTGCTCATATTATAATTGCATTTTCTGGGGTTGAACAGTTATGCACAAACAGATATGGAAAAGAGAGACCCAAACTCCTGATGTCTGGGTACATCTCTATATCCATGTACCCAGTAGTTCTGGTCCTAACCTTTTGGGGAAGGCAGAATCACTAACAACTGCCATGGGAGTGCTTATCTAAGTAAAGGACCACTGATTATCTAAGCACCTGACAAATTCAATAAAGTTATAGAATACAAAATGAACACACAAAAAATTCAGTTGTGTTTCTGTACACTAACAACCTTTTGAAAAATTCAGAAAACAATCAGATTTAGAATAGTGTAAGACATACGTAGGAGTCAATTTAACCAAAGAGGTAAAAGATCTGTACAATGAAAACTAGAAAACACGGATGAAATTGAAGAAAGCAGAAATAAATGAGAAGACACTTCATTTACTTATGGCTTGAAAGAATTAATATTGTTAAAATTTCTATACTACTCAAAGTAATTGAAAGATTTATTATAATCTAAATCAAAGTTCCCAGTGGTGTTTTTATATAAATATAAAATACAATCCAAAGAACACATAGAATTACAAGTAGTTAAAAGTCTTGAGCAAGAGGAACTAAGTTGGCTGAATCATGATACCTAATTTCGAAATATGCTGCAAAGATACAGTAATCAAAATGGCATGGTACTGGAATAAAATAGGTCTATCTATTGTATTTATATGCATATATTAGAACATTACTATAAGTGTATAAAAGAGAATAATATTCAGGCTTGAAAGAAGAGACCTTGCTATTTGTATCAGCATAGACGAAGTCAGAGAATATTATGCTACAGAAGAAAAATATTGCATGATTCCATTTATATGTGGGATCTGCAAAAGTTCATTGCATAACAGCAGAGCATACAAAGATGGCTGCCAAATTCTGTGGGGCTCGAGACAACAGTGGGGGGCCTGCTGATCACAGCTTCTGTTACGCAGGATGTAACGTTGCAGAGACCAATAGCAGTAGTGACTAAAGTTAGAAGTACTGTACTGGATACCTGAGATCTGCTAGTAGAATAGATCTTCAATGTTCTCACTCAACAAATGGAAACCATGTGAGATGATGGATATTCTAATTAGCTTGTGATACTCATAGCACAGTGTCTACATATATCAAAACATGGTGTGGTGAGCAAATTATATCTTTATAGAGTAGAAAAATGCAGATGATAACAACAGGATTGTTGGGGAAGTTAAATTAGTTAATCGACATAAAGTAGTACTAAATTTTCAGCAAATTTTAGCTGGTGTTGTTATTGATATTTCTGAAAAGCTAAGCTCAAGTAAGGCACTCATGTGAACATAAATATTGAAGCAGAAAAAAGAAATATGTGCACACAGCATGAGAGGGGAGAAAAGGGCCAACATGAGAAGAAAGCATGATGCTGCCTTGCGTTGTCTTTCCTACTTGTTACAGTCATAAATCACATTGGTTTTGGGAAACAACTTTTCCAGCACCCCATTTCATACTTCTCACTTGTGTTCCAATACCAGGATGCAGTGGGAAGAGGGGAGTGTGGGAGGGGGAGAAGAGGCATGGCAGAAATAGAGAGCTCTAGAGGCCTGTAAGGAAAGGCAAAGACATTTCCTGGGAGGGCTGGGTCACCTTGACTTCTTGGGAGAGAATGCTAACTGTGGACTTGGGTTATGACACCGAAGACTCCCTGATGACCGCAGCAGCTTTTCCTGGGAGAGACAGGAGGGCTAGATGAATAGACCGCTTTCACATAATCACTGCTATTAAATGGATGTTCTCTTATGTTTCAGTTTGATTCCTCCAAATACAGGACCTTCAGCAAAAGTGAAAGTGACCTATAAAACAAAGCGAGGGAGTAGAGAGGAGGATAACAATCCTATGTAAATTAGCAGGTTACTCCAGTGGACACCTGGGCACCCTTGATCCTACTGGGTACCCTTGGGAACCACAAGGGGTACAACTCATAATTTCAGGAACCTGGAGTATTGATCATCAGTCCTGACCATGGACTGACTTTTTGAAGAAGACTGTTATACCCACAGTGCTCTGAGCTACCTTGTGTTGAACTGAGCAAACATTGATAATGCTGAAGGAAGCATAGGCTGGGAAGCAGAGAGGCATGTGCATGAAGGAGAAACACCTGCCTGGTGAAAATTGGCCACTGCACAAGCAGGTGAGCTGGGGTGGGTGAGGGAACTGCACCTACTGGACCTCGAGACTTACAGGAGGCTTTCACACTAGAACCTGGGAAATGGCAGATTGATATGAATGAACTGCTTTCTTTCTCAATAGGCCAGGACTATCTCCCACTATGTCTTCCCTTCCATCCCATTTTTTTTTCACTTGCTCTCGCCTTTTATAATATTACTACATTCTTTTCTCTTTTGTGCACTTTAGACTTCTATGTACGGCCACTGAAGATAGTTATTCATCTACATAGTTGGCCACTATGTGTAAGTCTTGCTAATGATAAATAGTTTGTAAATATAGCAACTTACACCTCTTAGGTGTGACCTAGTCCAATACTGTTAGTTTACCTCTCTGGTTGTCTTCCCAAGGTGACGCAGCATGCCTCTAGTGTCTTCCTGATTTTTGTATTGCTAGGCCTCTTGAAATACGAAACAATTAAGATTCTTTTCTTCCAGGATAGAAAAGATAGTGCAGAGAGAAGGCTTCAGTCCTCCAAGAACTGACTTCTCAGTGCATATCAAGACAATATCTTTTCTTCTTTGATTGTTTGCTTATGCATCATTTTACTAGTTTTCTAAGGAATCTGGCCTATTCATGATTGGGCTTATACTTTCCATGGTAAACTCTTCTTTGCTGAGCATTTAATTCATGAACTAGTTTAGCAGAGAGCTGGCCTGTATTTAACTGAGTTTATTAAGTTTAAAACAGAATAGAGATTATTAAGTTTTTCAAAACCTGTGGAAAATTGTTGTATCCTTTTTGAATGGTGCAGAAAGGGGGCCTTGTCATGCCTCAGGGACATCAGTAATGTGGTAACCCTTGAGCTTGTGGAAATCAACTCCTGCCAGCTCCCACCAAGCCAAACATACCACTTCCTACTTATTTTTTGAGACAGGGTCTTGTAATGTAGCTCAGGGTGGCCTTAAACTCACTATGTAGTACAGACTGGCCTTGAACTCAGCAATCCTCCTGCCTCAACCTCCCGAGTGCCGGAATTATAGGCATGCACCACCATGCCCAGTTCCATTTGTTAAAGATCCAACATGCCCAGTCTTTGGTTCTAATCAGGAAAGTGATTTCCCATTCATATCTAATTGTCTTAATTGCCATTGCTTCCTATAATGCCACATAATAGATAAGGAATACATTACTTAAGAATTACTAGGCCCATAGCATGACACATAGGTCACAGGCATTTTATCACACAGTTAATGAAAATGTAGGGAGTTTACTTGCTATCTCCTTTGTGTCACACATCCCAAGACATTTCAGGGGATGCACGCCTAATTCCATCACCAAGAGTTGTGAGCTGGTTTTCTTTTTACTGTTGCTTTTCTATCATGAGTGGTCAACTTTTGGCCCCTGGGATTCTACTTTGCTTGACTTGCACTGGGCAAATACGTGATTAATTTAGGTAAATCAATAATCAATAGATGCATTCCTTTCTGGTACTGCTCTGTTTAAAAGGGGAGTTCCATCATTTAGTGCGTTGCTCCAAGAACCAG